CAGCCTTATGTTTATAAGTGACCATTTTCCTGCTAAGTACCTCCATGTCATAAGCATCTGAATTAAAAGTACCATATTGAAATCAAATCTGATGTTTTTTAAATTTTTATTTGGTGTGTGTTGGAAAAGGGGTCGTCTTATACAGTGAGTATACCCCAAATTCTATATTTTAACTGGAAAAGTTGGGGGTCGTCTTATACACCCAGTTGTCTTATATGCCAGAAAATACGGTATTACTTTACAATACCCCCTCATATGCAGGAGAATACCTGAAAATGCTAAATAGTTTGAGCTTCTCTAGATTGAAGAAAATGTGTTGGACAGGGAAACAATATTTGTTGCTATTTATCCTTCCTTTTTTAAAGGCAAAAAATCCAAATGATGGTTCACCAATCATATGGTGTTCCAAAGCATTTCTACTTCTTTTCTTCAGTATTCTGAAGTATTTTGTTCATACTCTTACTTTTTAAAACAAACACTACATTTGGTAGATGTACTTTGTGCATTCTGACAACTGAATTGGGTGTATCCCACTTCCCCTTTCCCTGTCTTTAGGATGTTTTCACCCTAAAGAATGTGTGGTGTGTGGGTGTTTAGTTAACAGAAACTATGGGGCATTGCAGACCAGCCTAGAGGGCCAGCCTGGGGGTGGAATTGGAGCGGGGCAGCCACACACTGGCTGCCCCAACTCCAGCCTGATGATGTCCTGATGCTGCATACTTGTATGTATGGTGTGTGGCATCAGGGCACCCTCCCAGTGCAGTGTGTAGACATGCTGCACTGAAAGGGCTTGGAAGAGCTGCGGCGCTGGGTCTTGGGTGGCATTTTGCAGCCCCTAAAAGGAGCAGCATTTTGCCGCTCTTTTAGAGGCAGCACAAGAGAGGATTGGGGCAACGGCGTGCAGTTGCTGTAACGCCAATGTGCTGCTAGCGGGGGCGACCCAGAGCCACCCATCTGCATAACCCCTACATTTTGTAGACCCCCTATCAGCAAAATGGTGGCTTTATGCATAGAAAGATCAGCCCTACACAAACATACACATATGTCAATCAGATAACTTCCAATGATTTAGCCTTCTCTACCTCTCTTTCCCAATCTTTCACTTTCTTAGGGGGGTTGCAGACTGCCAGAAATAGTGCAAATTGAGTCCACTTTTAGGGTTAGGGTTAGTGCTAGGGAATCATGGGAATTGTCTTTTTTCTGAGACATTGGCCCTTCTCTGTCAGAGAGCTCTGGTGCCACAATAAAATACAGTTCCCATGATTCCCTAGCCCTAACCCTAACCCTAAAAGTGGACTCAATTTGCACTATTTCTGGCAGTCTGCAACCCCCCTTAATTACTTTTTTAGGAATTATATTATAAGAAGAATTATATAAAAATTAGAAGGCTCCTGGAGCAAGACTGATCCCTTCCCCCAACTTACTCATAAATTCCAACTGGAGTCGAAGATGTAAAATTAGGAAAGGGAGAAATGCTGGATGATAATGGGACCTTTCCCTCACTTCTCAGATTTGTTTCTGTCTATGTGATTTTCCCAGCACAGCAATCTACTGCTTTAGCACTATGACTCTGATTTACATTTGGATTATCTTGGCTAGTATAGAAAAAGGGCATTGATTCCAGAATGAAAGCAGGGGTTCAGAACACTGTTCTGTATTTTGTGTTCATAACTAAAGCTTGACACACCCAATGGTATGGAAGAGGGATATGAACCTAAAATAAATTATCACCTTGAAATCACACTGGAGCCTTTGGATAGCACAGTGAAACCTCAAAGTGCAGCATAATTATAATTTTCAAAATTCACATAGCAGCTTGACCACCCAAATACATTTTCCTGAACCTGAGGAGAAAGACTCTTTCCAGAAATTTCTGAGAACTGAATAGACTCTGAAGAAGGCCTTGAAGAAGTAAATACTTTTGACCATCATATAGCACGTGGGACTTTGTCTCCTTTCATTCTTCCACTGAATATGTGTTTTCTAGTTTTTTGTTTTGTTCTGTAGTTCACGTCATACTTGTATCTCACCTTTTCCTTCTGAGTCAGAGGTCCAAAACCTTCTTTCTGTCTTCCTGTATTCGTAATGAGCCAAACTGCAGAAGTTTGAACCAGTTTAGGCAGTCTGGTGGATTTATAAGGCTGCAATAAAAGGAAGTCAAGGGTTTATTCTGGCTCTGACATGTTCCTTTTTAGAAGCATTCTATTTCATGGGTGGCAGATCACACTGCAATGTGTTGGTTATGACACTTTCACTCTCTTGCATCGTGATATGTCAGCATCAACTAGGAAAGTCACATTCCATCTTGTCATGTATCAGAATGTAGCACAACAAGGCAGAATGGAAGCAAATTCTGCTCTTAGATGTGATCTACTAAGAGGTGATATCTGATTTGTAACCAGGAGATGTGGGATGGTGGAGATGACCATCAGCTAATGCAGTTGTTACTGAATGGGCTGCCTTACCTCTTGACTTAATGAATCGTTTCCCTCTTTTCATAGTATTTTTTAAAAATTGCTACTATTTATGCAGTCAACTATCAACAGTGACAGCTGAAGGCATCAATATTCCTGTTTGTATTGTTTATAATATTAGCCTAATTAGCAGCATCATTCGTAATAACTAGGCCTAGCATCAAACAGTGACATTTATGTCATTAGGCAACAATTAGAGCATAATGTGCTACTAAACAAAATATGAACAGAACTATTTATTATTGATTGGCTGAACAAACCAGTTTGACTCCAGCCTACTTTTTATAATGCCTTCTTTAATTACAGTTAGTGTGTGGAACAGGTATTTCTTATGGCTCTGTTATCAATTTAGATTTTTTTAAAAAAACAACCTAAATCATTCATTAATTTAGAATTTTTTTAAAAAAATTCCAGAGACAGGCAGCTGGTCCAAAGGTTCTCTTTGTAATTTATTTGACATATTGTCCAGATTGGTAAACAGAGAAATCCTCACAAAGTACTGTGGGCTCTTGCTATCTGCTGCAGTTTGGTTCCAGGAACCCCCATAGATGCCAAAATCCATAAATGTTCAAGTCCCATTATATATAATGGTGAGGTAAAATGATATCCCTTTTATAGATGGCAAATCATAGTTTACTTTTTGGAATTTATATATTTTTATATAAATATCTATTTTATATATGTTATATAAATATCTATTTTATATATTTTAAAAATATTTTTCACACTGTGGATGGTTGAATTCATGGATAAAGAATCCATGGATATGAAGGGTCAACTGTATACTACATCCATTAGTGCCCAGCCAAGGGCAGGTAAGGCACATGTCTTGAAACTGACTAGCTAACAATCTGCCTCTACACTTCCTCTGTCAATTTCTTCCCCTGCCTTTGCCTTCTCTGACTCTGAAATTTCCTCATCTAACCCAACTTGTCTTTCAATGAATGTTACTAGTCCTAATTTCCTTGGGTCATTTTTTTCTGTGCTCTTTTCTTGGATATAGCAAAAACTCCCCCCCCCCCCAGTTATTCTTCTGCTCTGAGGTTGTTCCTTGTGTCTACTCTGTTCTTTTTAGCCAAAGGTCCAACTTGGAAAATTTCTGAAGCCAAAAGATAAAATCCCACCCCCCCTGCCATGCAGCAACACACAATCAAAGCACCCTTGACAGCCATTGAGCCTCTTTTTAAAAATCTGCAAAGGAGACTCTACCACTCTCTGAGGTAGCATAGTCCTTAGTAATGTTTTTGTATTAATGTTATTCATAAATCATAATCCCTGTATATCACTGAATGTAATGGCAATAATTGTGATATAAACAATTAGAAAAATTAAAGTTATACCTTTACAATACAAAATCATATGCACAACCTAAATGTATTTACATGTCCATAGTTTCATGTAGTTAAAGAGAAAGTTTGACAAGATGTGACTTTTTTTTTAAAAAAAATAAAATTTAATGTTCTACAAAACTGGGCCCTCTACTTTCTCCTCCCGCTGAACCTCATCCTACTGTCACCATCCCTTCAGTTTTAAAGGGACAAAGGCAAATGCCACAGCCTATTTCTGCCCAAAGGGAGGTGTTTGGGGAGCAGTAGTGCAGCCCCCCCTTAGGGTGTCACCTGATGTTTTCCACACCTCAAAGCGTACTCCCAGTGATGCCCCTACCACACCACTTTGCAACCATCAAATTATCAATTATCTACTATTCCACAGATTGTTTACCACTTTGTGCATCTGTGTATGTGAAATATGCTGGTAATGGTTTTCAGTTTGTCTGTTTTCTCATACAGGAACAATACTAATTAATGTGAATACTAATTAAATTTTGCAATCTGATGCTACCTACCACCAGATACCTAGTCGCCCTTCCATTGTGTCTAATTAAATTTAACGCTCATTTAAACCTTCTTAGCCTTGACTATCAGAGATCTCTGGTGTCACCACAAACTACAAATCCCAGGATTCCATAGGATGGAGCCATGACAGTTAAAGTAGCATCAGACTGCATTAATTCTGCAGGGTGGCAGCAGGGTGGGACTGAGGAAATGAAATGCAGCTTGTGAGAAAAGCAAATCTTCTCAAAAAACAAAAACAAACAAACAAAGCATTTCTCCTTGTCATTATCATCCTGTTTGGAAATGCCTTACACAACTCTTTGTAGGAGGAACGAGTGTTTACTTCTGAAACAGTTCAGTTGTTTGGCTTTTCCTCCCTCCAGGATGCAAGATGATATATACCTGCCTCCTATAAAAACAACATTTCAACAACAGTTTGGAAAAGCCACTTCTGGAAGCTATGTATAGTTAGAGGCAGTAATCTCTTTCTCACCCATTAGTGGCATCAAACAAAATCAAAGTGTTTTGTGGGAGGAAAGCAAGTGCGTATGTTTATACATGTGTGTGGTTGCTGCCCAGCAAAGGACTTGTTTAATTTGTTGGAGAAAGCCACCATTGAGTTGAACAGGCTTTCACATTTTGGAATCAACAATTGAACAGCCTGAGATTGTAAGCGCAAGGAAACATGCTTTAATAAGAAAAGGAGATGCTATATGTGATGGGCTTCCGCCTCCATGCAAGTAGACTTGACACATCATTTCTCCCCTGCTCTCTTCAGAGGCTCTGAGACTACTGCAATTCAACAGGCCAAGTTTCAATATGAACAGACCTTCATGTTGATGTAATGCCTCTCTTCCTTCCTTTGTGAAGTGGCAGTTAAAGGGACAAGAAGCTTAATTTCCAGTTTGAAAAATATGTTGGGAAACTTTTCTAGAATTCTCTTCTGTTCTTGAAGATGAATACCATTTATCAGGAGGAGATCTGGGAGTGGGTCAAAACGCAAGTTTTTTCTTAAAACACATTTCTTTCAGTGGCTCAGGCACAGTGAAAGATGTAGTGACTCCATGGTAAAAGGTACTCTTTACATGCTCAAATGCACCACTTTCTTTCTAATACTCTTTTGTGTTATTGTCTATAAAATGCAGCATGGCATGAAGGGGGCAGGAAAAGGATTGTGCTCATGAGGACTGGGTTGAAACATCAAGACCCTTTCCTTGTATCTTTTCTCAGAGTAGAATGGAAGCCATCCCTTCACTGCTCTTCCCTCCAGCTAGGCAAAAATCTCAACATGCAGCTCCCTTCAGAATTTGGTATGAATCAAAGAAGGCATAGAAGAGTCTGTTTGCAGAGTCAGGGAATGAGACATCCTCTCTTCAGGGTGTGTGTGCACGTGTGTTCATGGATGTAATTGGGAATGAGGGGAACTCTCTTCCTTTACATGTCTAGATGGGACATTATCCCAAAGTCAAAGTCAAAATATGGTACAAACCTAGGAATAGGGGGAATTCTCCTTCGCAATAGAGACAGATGGACCATATATAGAGATGTTGGCTTTGGATAAACCAAAGTGCTCGGAAGAGCCCCATGTGTCAATGAGGGAAATTTGCAGACCGACAGAAACAGTGCAAATTGAGTCCACTTTAACTGCCCTGGCTCAGTGCTAGGGAATCATGGGAACTGTAGTTTTTTTTTCTGAGACATTGAGCCTTCTCTGTCAGAGAGCTCTGGTGTCACAATAAACTACAGTTCCCATGATTTCCTAGCACTGAGCCAGGGCAGTTAAAGTGAGCTCAATTTGCACTATTTCTAGCAGTCTGTAAAGGCCCTAAGAAAACAAGCCTCAAATGGTGAGTTTTAGCACTGCCATAATCATTTTACACAAGGAACTCATCGTGCAAATTGTCCTAACAAGGTGATGTTTTGAACTTTATAGTTGTTGTTTGCCTTCAAGTTGTTTCCAATCTATGATGATCCTAAGACAAACTTGTCATGGAGTTTTTTTGGCAAGTTTCTTCAAAGGGGGTTTGCCATTGCCATCCTATAAGGCTGAGAGAGTGTGATGTGCCCATGGTCACTAGGGCCTTTACAGACTGCCAGAAATAATCCAGCTTGAGTCCACTTTAACTGTCCTGGCTCAGTGCTAGGGAATAAGGGGAACTGTAGTTTTTTCTGAGACATTGAGCCTTCTCTGACAGAGAGCTCTGGTGCCATAATAAACTACAGTTCCCATGATTCCCTAGTACTGAGCCAGGGCAGTTAAAGAGGACTCAAGCTGCATTATTTCTGGCAGTCTGCAAAGGCCCTCAGTGGGTTTACATGGCCGAACCAGGATTTGAACCCTGGACTCCAGATTCATAATCCAATATTCAAACCACTACACCATGCTGGCTGGAGTTTTGAACTACAACTCCCATAATTCCCAGTCAGCATAGGCAGTAGCCATGCTGGCTAGTGATCTCTGATCTCAGTGGAGGTAGAGGAACCCCATGGGTCAGAACTGTAGTCTAAGAGGATTAAAGGTGAACAATCCTGCTTGGAAAGCAAGCCATTTCCCAGAAGTGCTAAATTAGTAATCTTTTATGAAACTGAGAGAGTTGAATATCTAATAGTATCACACAGAGACAAAATTAGTGTATCACTATAAAGCTCTAGGCCAGCAGTTCCCAAATTTTGATCCTCCAGGTATTATGGACTTCAGTTCCTAGAAGTCCCAGCTGGTGTTAACCAACAGAGATTCCAGAAGCTGGAGTCCAAAACATCTGGAGAGCCAAAGTTTGACAACCACTACTCTACATTCTGGCCCTCTACTCTAGCACTACACATGCTTTGTGCGTACCTGATATTAACATTTTCAATTAATGATTGACAAGTTGTTTTCCTCCAGATCTTGTTGGACTGCAATTCCATCCAGAATAGTGAGAGGTAATGGGAAATGTTGTCCAACACCCGGAGAGCCACATGTTCCCCACTCCAAACCATTCAAGGTCTTCTTCAAATTATTTTCTTTTCTAAAAGGCCCTTACCCTTGATGAGATTAGGGATAAGCAACTACAACCATGTTCTGTAAACAATATAACACAATGTGAAAAAAATAGAAATGTTTTCCAGAGTGGCATATTAGATCAGATTACACTTGAATCAGCAATTGATAACCTGCTATAGCTATGAATGTATAGAGCCAGGACTGGGGGGAGGGAAGGGGAGAGCATTAAATGTGTGTAAACTATCTTAAACGCATGCATACACATTTGGAATACTAAAATCTCTCCCCCTCCCTTTTATTCTATTGCTATTCATGAGAGAGAACTGTCTAAAACAAAACAATCCTCATAAAATACATCCGATTATTAATTTTATGTAGTCATTAGTTTCTCCTTTGCTGCCTATATAGCCTAATATTCACTGACTAAAATTGCTGAACCATTTCTTTTCTGTTAAGAAATCTAAATTCTTTCCCTTGGCATAACTGAAGTCATAAAGACTACTCTCTAGTTAATATTCCTCATTTCTTTTAATTTAATGTTTATTTTATTAGCTGTATTATTTTGCAATGGTTTGATGTCATTTTCCCTAAAGCATAAAACTATTCCATTTTTCCTTTAAACTAATATTTTGAACTACTAAAAGGGGATTTCACCAATTCTTTGTATGGTGTTAAAGAAATTACTGTTGGCAGGAATTTAAGATATGTTTAAACTGTGGTCCCACTGAGGGAACAGAAACTAATACTGATAGATTGTAAGAGAAGGTATGAATACACCTATGGATGAAATGCAGTTACAGTCTTGTTTTGTACATTGTGAAATGTGTGTACCTTAGTACTTGGTGCATCGAGGGCCAATTGGATCCACTCAAAAGTTGCATATATACAATGCATTTAGGACATAAAATGCAAGCATTTGAGACATCCTGATTGCCTTTTTTTGTTTATGAATTCCTCAATTTTAAAATTGAGAATCTTGTCAATCTGCAAACAGTTTCCTAAAATGTTATTCATAGTTCTCTGATAAACATAATGTATGCTACTTAAACGGTCCATGGCAAAGCTATTCCTGCTGGTCTTTTTACCTTCTCAGCTTTAAGCTTAGTATTTATAGGCATATATATGGCCACAACAGGCCCATGACCTATCAGAGATTTCAACAAGGTCCATTTATATGAACCACTGTCCCACAGACTGTGGCCTCCAGGTGCATGTGAACCATGTGGAGGGCAGTGGCTTACATTATCATTTGCCTTCATAGAATTCCTTCTAGGTAGTTCCAAAAAACCAATAATCATCAGTATAAAATGTGATCTTCAAAATTTTGGGGATGGATACACATCATGATGGCTGTATAATCTCTTGAGTTTGAGAATGTGTATCTTTCTGTACCGATATATGAAGGTGAAGGCTGCTACTGGATTTCTGGGCTTCCAGTTGGCTGCTTCGTAAATTCAAAAGAATACTGGCCTAAGTAAGCCAGAAGTGGACAACTTCAGTGGCTCCTGAGGAAGAAATCTCGGAGGACCACAAAGATTACAAAAATGTCACAAAATGAAGAACATAAAAGTGAAAGGAGGTCTATTTTTGCCTCTGAAAAATAGTGATGGGTTAATGCTAAAAAATGTAAGGGAAATACACAATTTGGGAGGACTATAGAATAAGCAATTTTGTGTTGTTGTTTTTTAACTAGGACTAGGTCTAAACACCCTAAAGGCACCAGAACCTTGATCTAGGTAGCTAAGCAGGACTAGCCCTGATTGGTACTTGGGTGGGAGATTGCCAACAAATACCAGGTGTTATATTTCAGTAGAAGGAAGAGGCAAAACCATCTCTGAGTGTTCCTTGAATAAGAAAACCCTATGAAAAATATGATGTTGCTGTAAGTCAGCAGGTGACTTCGAGACACATAGGACGTTTTCACACTTGGGGTCTCAAAGCCGCCTGGAAGCAATCAAGAGCCATTCCAGAATGGATCCTGCAGCTTCAGACCTGTGAAAGCAGCATCATTCCGGAATGGCTCTTGATTGCTTCCGGCAGCGGCAACTCAATTCCTTTTTAAAAAAGGAATTGAAAAGAACAGGGATGATGCAGAAATGCGCCGGGGATGGCACTGGATGGGGTGGGGCTTGCTGCGACGTCATGTGAAAACTTTGCAAAGGAGCCGGACTGGGGCCGGATGGAGGTAGGATTGCGTCTGCCTTAAGCCCCGTGTGAAAACGTCCATACTCCTGCACACAGTAAGAGGGAGGTTAGGGGAGCTGGTGACTCAGGGACTGTTACATGCCACCATGCTAAGATCTGACCTGGCAGGATTCTTCCTACATCCCAAGATCGTTTGTCCTTATCACCCTCCTGGCAGGTAATGAGATTTGTACCCACACTATTTAAAGATAAAAGCAAAAGACATCTAATGCAACTTTATTCTCATCTGATAATTCTTTAAAGGCCTTTTAATGATTCACTTTAGTCCTTCTTACTTCATGGTAGTCTCTCATTGTGTGTCTATGCAAGTGGTCACACTTTGAAGCCAACACTATGGACCTTATCACACGGGGTCTGAAGCAGTGCCATCCCCGTTGCATCCCCGTCCCATTGCACTTCTCTTCCCCGTGTTTTCACACGACGTCGCAGAGAAACCCCGCCCATCCCCATCGCATCCCCGTCCCATTGCGCTTCTTTTCCCCATGTTTTCACACGACGTCGCACCCATCCCCGTCGCATCCCCGTCCCAATGTGGCATCATGCTGCATTATCTGGCATCATCCCCGTTCTTTTTAATTCCAGTTGTAAATGGGAATTACATTTCCCGTGACTGGAATGATACAGGAATGATGCTACTTTCTGTATAAGGAAACGTAATGGGACGGGGATGCGACGGGGATGGCACTGCTTCAGACCCCGTGTGATAAGGTCCTATGAGCAAAATATGACAAAGGTTTCACTTTCTTGGGCCCAGTTCTGTATGAGCAGCAAGTGTTTTTTAAACATCTATGACATTACTGTTGGACTGCATTCAGAAATGAAGTAGCAATGCAGAACTGGCACAAATAAATAAATAGTCAGCTAGATAAATGGTAGGGGACACTCTTGCATTTATTTCCACATCTGGTAATATTTTAAGGACAATTTTGTGAATGGAACTTTAAATAAATACAATAAATAAATATTTGAAATAAATACCACCTTGTTGTTGTCATGTTCTTTCAGTTGTTTGTTACTTACAGTGACCCTAAGATAAGTAAAATCAGGTTTACTTGGCAAGATTTGTTTGAAGGGAGTTTCCTTCTGCTTTCCTCTGCAATTTAGAGACTTTGCTCAAGGTTACCCAGTGGGTTTTGATGGCTGATTGGGGATTTGAACTCTGGTCTCCAGAATCATAGTCCAACACTTAAACCACTATACCACGCTGGCTTTCACCACAGTCTGCATGTATGCCTGTGTATATTGAAATCATATTAACTGAGCTTTAACCATCAAGTCAACTAGAAGAGCTCCATTTGTTACCGTAGTCAAAGTAAAGGTGATAGAGTTGTCTGCCTTTTAAATATAGTTATTGTCAGGAATTTCTAAATAAATGTTGGACAGATTACTGAAGGATGAGGTCATTTCCCTTATTTTTTTTTTCAGGTATCAGTAAAATCAATGTAGCAGGGAAGTGTTTAGAAGCTAATGAGATTATAAAGTCTGAGTGTGCTCATGCATGTGGTGTCATACAGAAACTTAGGTGTATTCGCCCGCCCACCCACTTTTGATTGGAAACCCCCCTCCCACAAAAAATCAGCTGATTTCCCTGTCTGATCTGATCCAAACTAAAGCTTATAAAGCTGCAATACAATTTCATTTCCACACTGGAAGCAGTGGGGCAGAGGGAAAATAAAATCTCTTGCTTCCTTCCAAATGCATTGTGCCACCATGGCCCTTAACTGGTCAGCTGCAGAAGAGTTTAATGGGCAGGGGAAAAAAGGTTAACCATCTTTATCAAATCCTTCAAAAGAGCGGATGCTTACTACAGCAGAAGGATTTATGTAATAATTAGAAGTGCCTCTAAGGGATCAGGGGCTGGCTTGTGTTTTCTGTCTACTCTCTTTTGTCAGTCTCCTGCTATCTTTCACTCACAGAGCATTAAATGACTTGTAGGTGATAAAAAGTAAGGCTTAGTAAGTCAAGGTACATGTATTATAAACTATTAGATTGTCTAAATACTGTCACAATGTTACTGAGTCTTTCTTCAGGGGGATTGTGCTTCTGAAAAGTCTTTCCTTCCAAAAGGGGATTACACTGAGCCAGATTTCTCTAAGAAAATACAACTTGACAAATGAATCTCTTACTATACACACCACATGTCTGAAACTGGTCACAATGGGAGATTACTCATTGCATACAGTCCAAAGCCTGGAATGGAG